TCTCACACCCATTGATAGTATGAAAATATTCACATATTCCAGTGGTAGAATCATATATGTGTGTTGAAAATCCAGCCAACTAAAAGCAACTGGCCTTGATCACCTTTTAACAAAACAGCTTAGAGAAACAGCAAATGCATCATGTGCAATATGATCCAGCTGACAATAGTTTTGATACAACTTGGGCTGTAACCAGTGCATTTCATAGCAATAATACATTCCTCTGTCCTTCCCACTGGCCTCACAGAACAGTTGTAGTGAATTGCATCTCTATACCAAGGCTGTGTTAAGCCCTGCATTGTGCCTTTGGATTCCTTTTCTCCTTCTGTAATTGTGAATCACCTTTCTGCTAACTAGCATGCCTAGGTTGTGTATTCATTTCACAATCCTCTCTTCATAAGCATATCCCCTTACTTAGGAAAACTCTAAAAACACATCTTCATTGGCAGCATAAGCAAAGCATCAGCACCAACAAGATGATGGGGCAGAGCCCGGTATGGTGGCACACACCTTTAGTCCCACCCGTCGGGAGGCAGAGGCAGGCCATTCTCTGGAGTCCAAGGACAGACTGGTCTACAGAGTGAGTTCCTGACAACAGAGAAACAGAGAAACCCTATCTCAAGACAAAACAAGACAAAAAAAAAAAAAAACAGATGGCGGTGCAGATGTAAGCAACAGTTTCTAGGCATTCTATGAGTTGACAGCAGATCAGCTAGAGAGTAGCTCGTCATCAAAGTGAGTGAGCCAGGAACACACTGAAGTTCAATTTTTATTTTATTTTAAGTTATTTATCTATTTTACATCCCAACTGCAGTTTCCTCTCCCTCCTCTCCTCCCTTTCCCTCCCCCTTCCTCCCCTCTGCATCCCTCTCAAATCCACTCCTCTGTTTCTGCTCAGAAAGAGGCAGTCAACAAACATGGTATATCAAGTTGCAGTAAGACTAAGCACCTCCCCAATCCAGTATGAAGATAGGTTCCCAAGAGCCAAAGTGTTAAGGACAGCTCCTGCTCCCATTGTTAGAAGTCCCACAAGTAAGCAAAGCTACACAACTGTGACATATAGAGAGAGAGCTTAGGTCAGTCTCATGCAGGCTCCCTGGTTGTTGGTTGAGACTCTGTGAGTTCCTATGAGCCAGGTTAGTTGTTTCTGTGGGTTTTCTTGTGATGTTCTGGACCCCTCTGGCTCCTACAATCCTTCCTCCCTCTCTTCATCAGGATTCCGCAAGCTCTGCCTAATGTTTGACTGTTGGTCTGCATCTGTTTCCTTCAGTTACTGGATGAAGGCTCTCTGATGACCACTGGTCTGGTCACCAAACTTATCACAGGAGATGACAGTTCAGGCTCTGTATCCACTAATGCTAGGAGTCTTAGCTAGGGTCATCCGTGTAAATTCGTGGGAGTTTCTCTTGCATCAGGTTTCTACCTGTCCCCGAAAGGCCCCTCCTTTCCAGTCATCTCTTTCAATACTCTCCCCCTCTACCCACACCCTAACCCAGTCCCCAAATTTCCCATTCCCACCCACCCCCAGTCCACCCAGGAGATATCCCCCTTCTTCTCCTCTTCCCAGAGAGATCCACGAGTCCCCTCTTATGCCGTCCTTGTTACCTAGTCCCTCTGGGTCTGTGGATTATAGCATGGTTATCCTTTACTTTACAGCTAATATCCACTTATGAGTGAGTACATCCTATGTTTGTCTTTCTGGGTCTGGGTTACCTCACTCAGGATGATTTTTTTTCTAGTTCTGCCCTTTTGCCTGCAAATTTCCTGATGTCATTGTTTTTAACAGCTGAGTAGTACTCCATCTGAAGTTCAGTATTGACAGACCACGAATAAGACAGTTACCTATGAACTTAGGTTATTAGAACTGAGGGTGAGAACGAGCCTATCAGCGCAGACTCCACTGCAGCTCAGCTGTGTGACACACAGGATGGCTGAGTGACACAGGCACAACAGGTGGAGAAGGTAGGGTCTGCCTGAACTTAGCCAACGGTGATCAACAAGTGTTCTCTGTTTCTCCGTGTCAAAGGGTGGTACCATAATGGAGAAACACACCTCCATCTTCAGGAACCTACGTCATCCTCTTCCATGAAACTCAACCAGGTCCTGCCACACTTTCCTTGCCAGGATTACCTGGTGATATGGTGTGGTCCTGGCTGATCATCACTGACACAGAGCCATGGAAAAGGACATACAGTAGAGTGTTGGGTCAGAGCCACAAAATGAAGCGGAACTCCCTTTCTAAGACTGCAGCCAGACAACAGAGCTGTCACGTGTGAACTCAGTCTTCATGTTCGCATAGCAGGCACAGCACCTACGGAGCTGTGTCCCTAGTCCCTGTTTCTAGTTTTTTTGTTGTTGATACACATATATCTGGGCATGATGGTATACACCTTCAATCTCAGCACCTGAGAGGCAAAGGCTAGCAGGTATCTGAGAGTTCAAGGCCAGCCTCAGCCACATAGAGATTTTAAGGTCAGCAGGGCTACCTACCCTGTCTCAAAACAACAATACATACGCGCACACACTTTTTTCTTTTATGATTTTTAGGTTTATTTTGTCACTGTTTCTCTCCCTTTGCACTCTGAGTCAAATTCTTTCATTCTCCCATCTTTTTTTCCTTAAATTACAGCCTTCACTTCCACATTTCTCCAGCTACTCCCTTTTCTCCTTTGCTTTCCATCTCCAATTTCTTCTTTAAATTTTTTGCTTGTTTATTCCTGCCCTCATCATGCCTACTGTTGTTAAAATTGTGGTATTATAGTTGGCCCTTAATACTCACTTTCTTTCTATATCTGGTTCCTTGTTATCTGTAGCTGATGCTATTTATTCCCCCTTCTCTATGCAGTGTTGGGGATCAAGCATGACACCTTGAATGTGTTGTGTAGATGCTGAGATATGCCCCCGATGCAGCTAAGAGGCAATACACCTTGCTCTATGCATAACCCACACACACCTAAATTTCAATGTGAACACTTGAACTTAAACCATTGGGAAGGGATGGCCAGAGAGATAGCTCTGCTCATTAAACACCTGCTGCCACACCTGGCATGAGTTCTAGTACCAGGACCTCCCGGCTAGAAGGAGAAAGGCAACTCCAGCAATGTGTTCTCTGGCCCCACATGCATGCTGTGGCATGCTTGCAACCCATACCCCAAATAGTAATCAATACAATTTAGTTTTTTTTAAAGAGCTGAATTTTAAAAAAAAGAAGAAAGAAAGAAAGAAAGAAAGAAAGAAAGAAAGAAAGAAAGAAAGAAAGAAAGAAAGAAAGAAAGAAAGAAAGAGATGTAGATGTAACCAATCGTATTATTAAAATAAGAAACACAGAGCCAAGGTAAAAGAGAAAAGCCGAGAGGTCAGAGCTCAGAGATAAAATCTTACCTCCTCCAGTGCTCCTAGCTTCCCCGAGAGAGGGAGGTACTTCCTGTGTCCCTGT